ATATATATATATTTTATGGAAATATATATATATATATATATATATACTTTATGGAATGAAAGGCGATGCAGTCATTTCTTATGTTAAATTGAACTAAAGGACAAATTCAGCTTTCTGAATGATACTACTTAGTAACATCACATCTTTTAAGGTCTGATCTTCCTAATCATTCCAATGAATATTCTCCCAGTATATTTTGCATGTAAAAAATGTGCAAGAATTCTCCTTTATTTTTCAGTGTTTAGAAACTTTTGGCTTAAAAAATTGTCATGTCAAAATGAGATTCAAAATATTATAACTTTAAATCAAGTTATGTCAACCTTATCTGTAGTAGTTGGTCTTTCGGTATGGGCAGAGGTACATAGATTAGAAAAAAGAATAAAGTGAAGTTACTGAGGGCATATGGAAGGTCAGGCTGCTTATTTATTTTTTGATTCCTACAGAGGGTGTAGTCCAACGCTGTGAATATAGCAAGTGGTTAACACATTTCTTCAAAAGATTAAATGATAGTGATCTGAACCTTGTTTTTACCAAGCTGTTACTTTCTTATCTTTGCTTACTATATATCCCAAACTGGTTTCATAATATACTGTTATAACTCACAAGGTTTTTTATGAGTCCAGGATGATATGATACATCAAAGTCTTTTGGAATATAATAAGCTAGTTAATTATGCCAGACAAATGAAAGTCAAGTGTTATTTTCATTACATGTCTTTTTAGATAAGAATCATTCATATATCTGACCAAAAGAGTAAAAACCTTTATTCATCGTATCTCATTATCTATTTTAAAAGATTCAAAGAGAAATGTCTTTTTAAGAGCATGAGGAATGTTATTAAACTATTTTTTCCCAAAGTCATTAATGTTAGAAATTTGCATAATTATTAATATGTTGTCAATGATTGTTTTTTAAAGCAACTACTCTTTGTATGTGTCATTTCTAATTTCTGGTTTGCAATAGGCAAAACAAAGTGTCAATTTGTGATGATACAATGACTCATTAAGTCCATTTTTGCTTTTGTTGAAATTAAAAACCCATGAATCATTCAATAGTTGTAAATAAAATCACATATTGGACTAAATTATTAAAAGTCGTGGATGGCAGGGAAAAACACTGATGACTCAGTAGACTTAAATCTTTCCTTTTTTTTTTTTTTGGTACTGAGGATGAAACCCAGGGCCACATCCACTGGGCCAACCACTGGGCCACATCCACAGCCCTTTTTTATATTTTATTTAGAGACCTGGTCTTACTGAGTTGCTAAGTTCCTTGCTAAATTGCTAAGGCTGGCTTTGAACTTGCAATCCTCCTGCCTCAGCCTCTCGAGCCACTGGATTACAGGAATGTGCCCCCGAACCTGGCTCCTTTTAATCTTAATCCCAGTCAGATTAAGATTGGGATTAAGACCTTTCCATCCTTAAAACATACTGTGGTTCAATTCAATTTTTATTATCTAAATCTATTCAGTTTGTTCTCTATTTGTGGAAGAAGCAAGAGGTAACAGAGAAATAAATACTTTCCTGGCTTTAACCTTTTGATTTTACTATTATTCTCTCTCATGTACTCTGTGAGAGAATTATAAAAATTAGTTACTTATCCTGGTATATTCTGAAAAGCAGGAGTGTGAGGGGGAGGATCACTTAGTAGGCAAGAGAGAATAGTCTACTCTGGAGTTTCTAATTCTTAAGGTATTAAGCCTTGGGTGGCTGCCATCATTTCCTATTAAAAGATTATTGAAGAAGAATTCATATAGCCCTAGGTTCTGAACCAGTCCAGGAAAATATTTATATCCTCTTAAAATCTTAGGGAAGAGAAAAAATGTTTAGAACAATGAGACTGTTAAATAGAGATAATATGTAATTTCATTTCATAGATACTAAAAAACTCTTTATAACAACAATCCTTTATGATATTCCATCTTATAATTTTGTTGAATTAAATTTTGTAAGCATGGGTATTTTATTTTTCTGGTTCTGGAAAATGAACCCAGGGCTTCATGAATTCTAGGCACATACTCTACCACTCAGCTGCACCATCAGCTAAATTGTTTAGTTTTTATTTGCTTGCTTTAAAAAGATATTTCTCCTACTGTTAAATTATGAATGTTTGTGTCCCTCCAAAATTCATTTGTTGAAATTCTAACAGTGAAGGTGATGCTAGTAGGAGTTGAGGTCTTTAGAAAATGATTAGGTCATAAGGGCAATGGAATTAGTGCCCTTCAAACAGAATCACAGGGGAACTTGTTGACCTGTTGTCTCATGGGGACGTAGCCAGAAGATGCCATCTATGAACCAGAGGGTGGGCCCTCATCAGATACCAGATCTTCCAGCATTTGATCTTGGACTTGCCAGTCTCCTGAGATGTGAGAAAGAAATTTCTGTTGTTTATAAATTGCTCAATTTATAGTATTTTTAAAATATCAGATTGAATAGAGACATCTACTTACATGTTATTTTAAAATTCAGCTTGATTTAAAAAGATTATTTTATCTACTATTTTAATTTCCTGGGTAGTTTCATAAATAATGGATTTAATTAGTAAAGCCTTACAAATTATTATAACTGTTTGGAGAGAATAGCAAAAATATATTTCTTTGACATGGAAAAAGAGCCTTAGAGCTTCCCAGTGAAGGTTAACTGCAAGTTACTGTTGCCATATTCTTATTGTAATATAAAAGTGCCTTTTTATGAGTCATTCCATTTAATATATCTATATATTTATCTCTCTCTCTTTCTCTCTCTCTCTCTATATATATATATAGAGAGAGAGAGAGAGAGAAAAGACATTAGTGAAAATCACATTTATAAGTAGTTTTTTTAAAAAAACTTTTAAAGTCTTAATTGGCACAACATTATTTTGAGTGAAATTCAGTGTAAGTGAAATTCATGTTTCCCTAGGCTATAAGCTAGGAAATAATCCTCCATGATCACTAATATCTTGCCTCTTTCTCCTTTACTGGGGATCCTGTTTGCAAGACAAGAAATGGTGTTCATTTTCTCTCTGTCTGGAGAGAATTTTACTTAAATACTTTATTAAATACTTAACTACATGTCAAGCTCAATTCTAGGTGCTGGGGACAGAGGAATGAAGGTGACAGACATGTGTTGTACTTTCATGGTTTTTGCTGGGACGCAGTTGGCCTCTAACTCATCTATGAGGAACTGGGGGCCCCTGGCAAGAGAAGAAACTGGTTCCCACTGTCTTGCTGCCATGATGCCTGCCCAGATATACCACCATTTACAGTGGGAACACAGCTTATGCTCTTGATCTGGATCTCTTATGATGTAATTTGTTGAGCTAATAAATAATACATTCAAAAAAGTATACTTTAAATCTGGCTTTTGATTTAGCACAGTAATATCAAACTCAAGTTTTGCTGATGAGAAATATAACCTTTACAATTTGTCCCTGTAGAGCAAACAATAATCTAATTATGTTGTAAACTTCCTTACAATTGGGTTATTATAGTGTGCATTGACTTTTGTTTTATAGTGCCCAATTAGGAATTCTGATTCTAAATATTGGCTTGTGTTGCCTAATTGACACCCATTCACCCAAATGCAACAAATCTCTAATTAGCTAGAGACCATGACTCACTGAGAAGCAAATGTGATAAATGAAAATAGGATTCCCTTCACTAATTACATGAAAATCTTACAGGATAGTGATCAAGAAAATGACTTTTAGATAGATAATTATAATGCTGAAGAAGCCAAGCATTTGTATATTAAGTGATTGTTGTATGAAGATAAAGAATAATCAGGTTAGGTTAATTTATGTATTATTGGTTTTATCTGAAATTTAATATGTATAGAGGTACTTGAGGCCCAAAGAAAATCAGGGTGGACCTGTTATAAGTCAAACAAAATGTCTAATACAGAGATAGGAAGCTTAATATTGTACAGTGCTTGTAAAGATCCTATTGGAGAAATGTTTTCCAAAGAAGAACCATTTGCATCAGAATCACTGATGTGTGACTTTAAAAATGCAGAGTCCTAGGCCTTAATGAGGCCTGTTGAGTCAGGAACTCTGTGCACAGGGAATAGGACACGTGTGGTTTTTAACAGGTCTTCTTGAGTGAATCTTAGGTATGCTGGAATTGAGAATTATTATTCTAAACCTAGTAGAAACAATTTCCCACCTCCAACTTTAAAGATATAATTTCCAAAGCCTTTGAGCCTCTTCCCTGGAGGTAAGTAATGAGTCTGTGTTGGGACTATGTTATTCTCTTGATTCTCAGCCAGTTCACACAAGCTATAGAAGTCTGGAGAAGCTGTCTCCCAACCTTAAAGCTATAAGGTATTTTTTAAAGTATATTTTGCAGTCATTTAGCACTGTGTTCACTCTGTTGGTGTACTAAAAAGCGGATTCTCAGGCCTCATTTCAGACTTGAAAGATATATAACTCTTTCTCTTAAAATACCTATTAATCTTTCAATTAATATAATTCTTATGAGTGTCATATATTTCTAACATGAGATCCACTATTCTGGACGATGGCTTCAGGGCTGCCAAGACATGCCGAAGACCAGTCCTAGAGTTTGAACTCTGTGTACACTGTCCTTTCAACTTGATACATTTACATTTTCTGTTTCTTACCTTTCTTCTTTGAATAAAATATTCTATCACATACTAATCACATACTATATACTGTGTTCCAGTTGTGAGTTTTTCTGATATCAGCAGGCAAAAATATTTTTTTTGCAATATTTTCCTTCCCCAATATTGTTTTAAGTTCATAAAGATCGGGTTGTACTCTAATAATAATAGATTGAATTTCTTTCTCTCTTTTTCAGTCAGGAGTTTCCCTGGGACATGATTTGGAACCTATTTCTCTTTGAATGCCCTGTAGCATCCAGCACCTAACACAACATAAAATGACTCTCATTTTACGTGAACATCTAAATTCCACACTGCCTAAAGGGTACAGATCCAAATTCTCTTGCTTCATCCAGGTGAAGATGGCCTGACATGTGATGTGTCATTTGAAACAATGTCTTCACTCTCCCACTAATGGTTTAGTTAATTATTTTCTTTGACTAATGGGGAATTCTTTCACCCCATCAATGAGCTCTTCAAAGTCTCTGTAGTGCGTATGAAGGGAAATCACATCTTACACATTTCTGTGACTCATGTTTTTATTTCAGGTCTTTGCTTGTAGAAGATTGACACTTGTGCTTAGAACATGTTATCCTCACAGTTTGAGGAAAGCTAGATGAGCAAAACACATTGGCGATCTTTCAAGACATTATAAATTGTATTATGAAATCCCCAAAATTTCCATGAGTGATACTTTGTCTTCATAAATGCTGAACTTAAAATAACAGGTTGATGCTGCTATTTAGAGCTGTGATCATTCAGTCAAAGCTGAGGAACAAAACAAAACAAAACACACATGAAACATTGCTTATACATATTGAAAGCATGTCCAACCCTACAAAACATGAAATGACTTAGTAGTATGTAACTTTTCCTATTAAAAGTTTTTTTTTCATCATAGATGGATACAATACCTTAATTTATTTATTTATTTTTATGTGGTGCTGAGGATCAAACCCAGTGCCTCATGCATGCTAGGTGACCGCTGTACCACTGAGCAGTAACTCCAGCCCCACTATCTTTAAACTGGTATATAATGAATTATTTCAGTCTTCCTCTGAGGGACCTCATGGGAAGCTTCAAGTTCTACCATTTCTAGATTTCTGTGTCAAGGCTGTAGGACATTGATAAATTCTCAATAGAACACTGGAAACTGCACAGACTTTTCAGGTTGACACCTTTTGCTCTTATCATTTCTGTCTCTTTTGTCAGTGTCATGCTGCATGAAGTTTATTTGACCCAGGTTCCATTTTCTTGTCCACGAACTTTAGACCAATTGTAAGGCTCTTCTTAAATGCATGTTGTATGGATTGAATAGTATGATACATGAGAACCTGTCAGGATCACTCAGCTACCTGGCTTTTGTGAGGCAGTCTTAAGGTTGTTGATTTCAAGTTTCTGGGAGAAGAAGCCATCTTTGGATCCATATCTAAGAAGAGGCTGGAATCCAATGGCCCTGAGCATTATGAGAAGAATTTCAGTGCTCTGCTGAATTTTCTTACAGATCTGATTGTTATTTAGCATGCCTTTACTTCTCAAGTAGAACAAATTGTTCAAAGTTAAGATGTCGAATTTATCTTAGCTGTTAGCTGAGAATCATGTGCAAGAAAGACTTCATGCCGAACTGCTGTGTATTTTCCAGAACACTGAGATTGGCAATTGGAAGAAATCTTGCATCTGATTCTAATTAAGGTTTTCTTTGTTTCATAACTGGCTTTCACAGACAGAGGAACATCAAATGCAGTCCCTAAAACAGTATAGAACTTCAAAAAGCTAGATTCACATTCAGCTGTCCTTTCAATAGCTGACAAATTGTTGTTACATCCCCAGTCACAGTCATTATTCTTTTTCTATGGCATAAGTTAAGGTAGACCTTGGGGAATATATACTTAGTTTAATATAACCCCCAATATACTTTTGGAAGAATGCTGAGCTAGTGCAAAAGTGCTGTTATGTGCTTCACTTAAAATCTTTATTTCTTAATCCTTCCATGAAATTTTAATGAATGCCATGAATTTTTTTAAAAGGTTGCATTTCAGAGACCCTTGTATTTTCAAGCTTCCTGACAATCTTACAAATTTCTCTACCAAAAAAGTATTTCTCTACTATAGTACCAGTTCCTTATTGCCTGCTCCTCACCCTCTCTACTGTGCTGGCTCATCTCTCAGTAGGTTTAAAGGTTTTCCTTGCCTTTATCAACACTTTCCCTCCAATAGTGGCAATCGTGTTATATATTTTTTTTTAGTTCTGTTAGGACCAGTCTTTCCTCTTTTGCCATTTTCTCTCCTTTTGAATGGTCCAATTAATAGCATTTTAAATACTTGAGCAATGCCCATAAGGAGTTAACAGCTAGATGCCAAGGGAGAAGGAGGAAAAAAGATTTAACTGTTATTTCTACCATTCATGCTCCTGCCAGAAATATCAGCTAAAACACCAGTAGCACTAGAGAAGCACGGGGGTCTGGGAGGTGACTTTCCCAGGAAACCTAATATTTGGTGAAGGAGGCTGCTACTTTTTAAAGAAAAATCTCCGATAGTTTCCCACATTTTTCCTTTATAATAACTTGTTCAGGAAATACCAAGATCAGACGGAAAACTGGCCCTCTTGAAGAGGGAATTAGATAAGGAGATAGCTCAATAAGTCTGAGATCATAAACGGGTTAACACCTCTCTTGGGTACACCTAACACTATAGCAATACATTCATTGCTAGGGGAAAGAAAAACACCAATCAGGAAGTAGGGACCAATACATTTTACATTAAAACAGCTCAAGAAGAACTGAACCATCTATAGAGCACCAGGGGTATCCTTCAGTTGGCTCTAAAATTATAAACCAGATGAGCAAAGCCCTTCAGGTGTGGTTACCGAGATGTGGCTGAATGATAGTGCCTGGCTAATATTTGCAGCCTAAATTCAGGGTGGATGTCAGCCTGCCTGGAAGGTAGAGCTCATCTATGCAACATAAGAGTTAATTCGTCCCTGATGCTGACTGGTTATGCAGCATTACTTGGAGCTCTCTGGGGTATATATTAAAAAACATATATCATACCTACTCATAAGCTGCTTATGCTAAGTTATGTTAGACAAAATTAAATAAATGACACTCAGATTGATTGAAGTGTTAATGTTGAAATAATGTCTTCTAGAATCGTCCTTGAGAATTTGTCCTCATTAGGCATTATTTCCACAATAGTTCCAAGTGACTTGATTAAAAATAACTCACAGAGCACTGTAATAGCTTTCCAACTTACAAATAGAAATCATATTGTGTTTTTATATTATTGGTGTGCAATATGTTCTTTTTAGAAACACATGTTTGTGGAATAGCCATAAGTTTTGAGATACTCTGGAGGTGGATAAAAATGAATAAATTCCTATTATTGGAGTAGTGAAATATATTTGAAAACATTATCACAAAAATAAGTTTGCTACTTTGAATAAGAGGTCTCTCTCAAGTAGATCAGAACTGTTCCTCTAGCCTAACACTATCATTGTGGTTTTGACATATTTTTTTTTGTATGTGGAAATGCATGGTATAATGTTTAGGATATTTAAAAAATATTTCAGGAATTCCCAGTGTGAAAATACTGTGATATAATTTATTTCATATTTGTAACTAGTTATTTCAAAATGGATGCAAGTTAATTCACTGTAAAAGGCTCTTTGGTAGTTAAAAAAATAAGAAGAAGAAGCTATATTGGGCTAGGGTTGTGGCTCAGCGGTAGA